GATAGAATCGTTTCATAAAAACACAAATAACTTCACTTTGGCATGGAATTCGAGACCATTCTTTTTGCAAAAGAAGCACGAATCGTCCTACTTTTCAGTAATCCAAAATTCTTAATATGGTCCCCGCAACCATTTTCCCCCTTCAGAGGCCCATTACTCTGTTTAGTAGAATGCCGACAAGTGCGGGCTTTTGCTATGGCGGGTCACAAATTTCAAAATTAATAATAATAATAGACAATATTTATAAAATGCTTTATACATAAGTTTCAAAGCGCTAATAGAAAGGAGAAATAGATAGCATTAATCAAGACACCATTTAACTGCGTATCAAACATGAACAACTTAATCAGTAATAAAAAATGAACGAATAAATCATACATAGCTAAGCTTAACTAACACCGTAAAGTCAAATTAGGAATAAATTAGGTTGCGAAAAATGATACGTATATCATGAATATAAACAATATATTTAAACAGGGAATTTAGTGAATTATGTGTGTCTATCTTTCAGGAAAAAAATGTCTAATTATTTTTTTTTAATTTTGCATAGTGTTTTCAAAGCTTCCACTTAGTACTATCATATGGAGCAAACAGATTCGACATTGAGTATTATTTGTTCGACCTTGAGTATTATTTGTTCGACATTGAGTATTTTTGTGGACGGACGTTGGACACCACGTAATTGCAAAGGCTTCATCTTGATCTTCGGTCGGAAGAGCTCATAATTACTGTGATTAACAGTGTAACTCAGAAAACAACTATTTTAACAGACAAAAAACAAACATACTTTTGATTAAGTACTGGCTTACATCAGCAAGCCCTCTTTTTCCTTAAGCTTCTCCTTAAAATCAATCTGTATGTTATTAAAATGTAAAAAAAAAAAAAAAACTGAACTGGTGTGAACCTAAAAATAACTATTCCTTCATTTCGTCATCCTGGAAAAGGTAGCATTGGAAGAACATTTGGTCTCTGCCAATAATTGAACCCAGGTTTCTCTATCCATGTTTTCTCCCTATGGCACATTATTTTCCTAAGCACCTTTTTTTTAAAAATACATGTATCTTTCTCCCTAGAGCAAAATACTTCTCATTTTGTATCTTCCCCTTATGGCACCTTATTTTCCAAACATTCCTTTCTCCATTCATCACATTATTTCCCAACACAATCAATTGAGCCAAGGTCTCTGGCTTATGAAGTGACTGCCTGGGCTTTGCTACAGAGAATATAAGTAGCATTTTCCCCAGACCAAACTACAAGGTTGGTCTGTTTATCTTTCCATATTCAAATATTAAAAGGCTAAACACAACACATCAAACATATCAAACATGAACAACTTAATCAGTAATAAAAAATGAACGAATAAATCATACATAGCTAAGCTTAACTAACACCGTAAAGTCAAATTAGGAATAAATTAGGTTGCGAAAAATGATACGTATATCATGAATATAAACAATATATTTAAACAGGGAATTTAGTGAATTATGTGTGTCTATCTTTCAGGAAAAAAATGTCTAATTATTTTTTTTTAATTTTGCATAGTGGTTTCAAAGCTTCCACTTAGTACTATCATATGGAGCAAACAGATTCGACATTGAGTATTATTTGTTCGACATTGAGTATTATTTGTTCGACATTGAGTATTTTTGTGGACGGACGTTGGACACCACGTAATTGCAAAGGCTTCATCTTGATCTTCGGTCTGGAAGAGCTCATAATTACTGTGATTAACAGTGTAACTCAGAAAACAACTATTTTAACAGACAAAAAACAAACATACTTTTGATTAAGTACTGGCTTACATCAGCAAGCCCTCTTTTTCCTTAAGCTTCTCCTTAAAATCAATCTGTATGTTATTAAAATGTAAAAAAAAAAAAAACTGAACTGGTGTGAACCTAAAAATAACTATTCCTTCATTTCGTCATCCTGGAAAAGGTAGCATTGGAAGAACATTTGGTCTCTACCAATAATTGAACCCAGGTTGCTCTATCCATGTTTTCTCCCTATGGCACATTATTTTCCTAAGCACCTTTTTTTAAAAATACATATATCTTTCTCCCTAGAGCAAAATACTTCTCATTTTGTATCTTCCCCTTATGGCACCTTATTTTCCAAACATTCTTTTCTCCATTCATCACATTATTTCCCAACACAATCAATTGAGCCAAGGTCTCTGGCTTATGAAGTGACTGCCTGGGCTTTGCTACAGAGAATATAAGTAGCATTTTCCCCAGACCAAACTACAAGGTTGGTCTGTTTATCTTTCCATATTCAAATATTAAAAGGCTAAACACAACACATCATTATTATTTTCTGCACTGTGGAGAATCAAAGTTACAATAAACATTTGAAACATAACCATGAGAAAATGCTCAACAGAAATAAGTGGTCCCTAAATAATATATCCTCTAGTAAGCGGGGACAACAAAATGCACAAATAAGTCATTGTGTGACAAAATATTGTACAATCCTGGCAATGCCAAATGCTTATTACAGTGTCTTTTGTCAGGTACATTATTCAATAATTAAAGTGTCTGTTTAAAGGGGAATTACACCCAGACATTACTGTGCAGTCAGTAAATGAAGAGAAATAAGATGAACAAGCTGTTAAAATTTGAACAAAATCGGATTATCCGTTCAAAAGTTATGACTTTCCAAAGTTTTGATTTACACCACACATGGGCTCCTTGAATTGGCAACGTACAGGCGCAAAATGGCTGCCAACATGGAGAACTCTCCATTCACTTTGTACACAAAATTTCACATTTTCCTCTTTTTCCCGAAAAGTAGACAAAATTGTGTTTTTTCAGATAAATATGATATAGCCACATCAATTCTGCAAGCATTCCAGAAAGAATGGTGTTGATTCCTCATTTGAAAATATGATATTGATCCATTTTTAATAAATTCATGTACAAAGTGAATGAGGAGTTCTCCATGTATGACATCACAGATTATGCTAATTGGCTATAATTTGCCAATTCAAGGATGCCAATCACTGGTGGAAATGATAACTTTGAAAATTCATAACTTTTGAATGGATTATCCGATTTTGCTCAATTTTTGACAGTGTGTTCATCTTATTTTTCTTCATTATCTGACCACACATTAATGTCTGGGTGTAATTCCCCTTTAATAGTGTTGGCTATTTACGAATGTTTCAAATGCATGATTCTATGCACGCAACTGGTACTCTTTGTAAAAAAAAAATAATGTTCAAATTAAGTCCTACAAAAATTACTTGATAAATCTTTTAGCGCCTCATAAGTGCAAAATTCTGTGCCATACAAGACATATTGTTATGGTTTATTTTAATTATGCTAGGATTTATTGATCCAGCTGACTAATACTTTGAAGTTTAGACATCAAAGTTTTGCCATTTTTCAAAGTGAACTTCTATGATGTTAAATAGACACTTTAAGCAGTGATTGACAAATATTGTCACTAAGAGAATCTTGGTTTGTAAGTTTTTTTGTGGGTGTTTTTCCACATCTGAAGAAAATAACAGAAGCACCATCATAAAATATATGATATATATTTAGATTTTCGTTTTGGGCCATATGTGATAACAAGGGTATGAAAAATCAATACAAGTTAGCAGGCATTAAAATTGAATAGGTGTAGGCAATGCTAACTTGTGAAAATCAAAGTATCCTTTATGCTACAGTCACACACAGCCAGCATTTGAATTCGTACTGGGTCCATATGAAATGAAAGATCTGTCAACCCGATTTGAGCCAAACAAACTAAAAAACGCCACATTAAACCGCATAGTAACCCGTGTTTGACTACGAGAAACGGGTATACCCGTTTACAGTGGAGTCTATATGAGACGGAAAACGGGTTTACCAGTTTCAAGGAATGTAGCAAATACCTCATAACTTAAGTCGTAAAATCTTACATTTGGGGGAATACTCTCATGGTTTCCTGATGTCAAATGAAACATTGATAAATACATTTACTTCTCAGAATCATGTAATTTTGAATATTTTTTACTATTTTTAACTTTTTCACATACTACTACCCGATTCAAAATAAAAAAGGTGTAACTGAAATTGCAGAAATCCTCTTTCCGAGGTTCAAACCCTGGCTGATAATTTTTTAGTCAATGGGTTAATTCCTAGTGGAATCTGGGGGCTGTAATATGGCAGAGAGAAACTTTGGTCATGTTCAAATTTTTCACACTTTACTAGCTTACTTTTACCATGTTTACTGGATTAATCCCGTTTGTGACTGTTGCATTACTCCAGTTTTTAGTATTGAAGCTCATAAGTCTTGCTTCTATTCAGCTTTATTCATCAGTTATGAAGATATCACATTTTGTGCAGGGATTAAACATACACTCTAAAAACTAAATGTTAAACTTAACATTTGAAAGGTTGGAGGAGGAACAACCTTTTCCCAATGGTAAATTTACATTTTAAAAATGTTGGATATAATCATTCAAGTGTTGGATCCAACATTTTCAAAGTGTAAATTTACCATTTGTAAATGTTGTCCCTCCTCCACCCTTTTCAAATGTTAATCGAACATTTGTGTTTTTAGCGTGTAGTTATGTAATAAATTTGCACAGCTCTTTGGTTTATGCAGATTTTTGAAATTCACACTTTTTCAAGGGCTATAATCTTACTTTTCTTATAGATAACCTGCAATTCTCCAGCATACTTCAAGACCCCAGCTGGACCAAAATCTCTATGGCTTCAATCTAGGGCTCAGTAGGGGTAAAACCAAAATACAGATACCTGAATGTTAAATTCGTCTTTGTTACTGCAATAAAAGAAAAAATATTAACTGCCCACCCCCTCCCAAATACGGCCGCGAAATGCAAATTCGCGGGGAGTTTAAAATTTGATGACGACATGTTATGTACAGCGCAGTCCCGATTCACTTGATTGATTTACACAGTTTATCTATGTACTTGAAGAAAATAAACCTTACACTGATTCATAAAATCTCTAATAATTTCCAAATGAAAACTTGTATAGACCTACATGTAAAAGCTAAACATGACAAGCTCAGATAAGGGAACATACAACTAAATGTCATTTTATGAAATTTCTCTAAACGCCAAATTCCCCTCATGATATGGATTATAACGATGTTTATTCCCCCAATGGCTGGATTTATATATACAAGCTGTGCTATGAATGTATATTAAATTTGGTGATCGCTTTTTGACAGAATTTGCCGATGCTCCTAATTTATTCACCAAACGTGCCATGCTATTGTTCAGTTCACCGGCCTCGTCGGCTTTCCATTCACTCTTAGCTGGAATGCCCTATTCTTCATGAAGATGCTCTACATTCTTGACCGATAAATACAGTGTTATTGTTGTGTCCTGAATAAATTATGACGGTTCGTTTCAAAAGGGGACATCAAACTTGCAGTTTATAACACTTTTTATGGAAAGTTACGTGAGGAAATGTCATGAATCTGTCATTATCTATGGTCATTATATCTATTTTTCAACTCCATTAGAGTATCAATTTGTGACTGTTTTTGCGATTTTGTGAATCAATTTAGGATCCATTTGCATCAAGTAAATTGGATAAATCGATGAAGTGAATCGAGACTACTATACATAACATGTCATCATCCAATTTTGACCCCCCCCCCCCGGCAAACTTGTCTTTTCCGGCCGTATTTGGGAGGGGCGGGAAGAAATCTTTCACCAAGATTTTGTGCAAAGGCAGAGAGCTGAAGATGATTTTCAATCATATGTATTTCTATTATGTCTCTACCTATGGGCAAACTCGGTCAAGCAGGGGTCTTCCTGTGTCTCTTTTTTCCCCAAAATATGAAAACCAGGTTCAAGACACGGTTTTCCATTTTGATTATTCCTTAACTCTCTTTGGCCAATGGTTTCTAAAGAACTGGCAGCAAAAGTTCAATGTATCTCAAGTGACTTCTTTTCCCTTTTATTATACACATCATTCATGAGTTTGTTCCGTACTGTACCGTAGGGGTGAGGGAATGATGGGTTCGCTCGCAGGAATTCCATGATCTCTCTCTTCCCTATAATCAATAAACAAAAGTTAAGATGATACTTAATCATATTGAAGAACACAAAGCATGACTGCACTGTGAAAACAACATTAAACTTTAAAAGTTGGGGCTAAAATCTAAGATTCTTTGTTTGCTTGTACAACAAGTTTACAAAATCATGTACTTACATACTTATACACACATGCCAAATTTGAGAATTTAACACCCCACCCCCCCACCCCCCCCCCAAAAAAAAAGACAAATACAACATATCACATTTAGATTGTTTTAAAAGAAAAAAATATCTTATTGAGTGACTTCAGGTCAATAATATTATAGGATTTTGAGTGATCTGTGAAACTGAGTAGTTTTACTGTATGCCACATGATACTTCTAGCAAATAGGTTTCTTTAAGTTTGAAAAAGTACTGGGTAGCTTACAAAAGAATCGATCAACCTGTCTGCGACGCATACTATAACATGAGCTCACAATCTTTACAAAGCTCTTTTAAATGACGTTCACTTGAATTGAATGCTTCCGCCTTCTCGCATACTGCAACTATTGCCTGAATATTTTATATATTTCGATCAGATCAAAATCAGATCAAAGTATTGTGCCCCCCCCCCCCATATTATACCCTCACACCAAGTTTTGATCTCAAACAATGCCTGCCAACCTCAGAGGAAAAAAAGTAACCTTTTTGACAGACAATCACGGAGGACAGTATCGTGCATAACTGCTTCACAACACACGAGAATTTTAGTCTTCACTCCAGCCATTACAAGTATAACAATACTCAAAAAATCAGAAAATTGTAATATTTCAACACTGATTCGTAAAGCGTAATCTACAAGGAGAAATCGTAAAGTTTACGCCAGAATCATAATAGTTGGCAGGTATGTCAAACCATCACATGGTTCTTGAGAACAATGAAATAAAAACGGGACGGACGGACAAAAGACTTGAAAACCTAAGGATTGAGTATTTTGAGTCGCGTCACGTCACGTCGCGTTGCGTCTTGAGCTCCGTTGATTTTACTCTAAAAGTTTTTGGGAAACTCATATGGGAATTATTGGATTTATCGTGTTTGTAATAAGTCAATCAACAAAATGTTTGGCACTGCTGGCGGGGAGAGATTGTTTTACACATACACACCTGGAAGTTTCTTGGGGGCTTCTCCGCGGATATAGAGTCGAAAATGTTCTTCCACCTTCCTTTGTTCTTCCCTTGCCCACCTTGTGTACTTGCGCTCTAATGATGAGAAATAAATAACTTTACTTTGTTTTCGTTCTACATATTTTAATAAAGTGATTTTTCCTCCATTATACTTTTAACACTGAGAATATACCATTAAAACAACAATGAAATCTAATTTTGCTCAACAGATTTGCATTGAAATTAACATGCAAATGATGCCTACATCATGAAAGTTGAACAATCACAAGAGTCGATCCTTCTGGCTATTGCGCTGTTTCAAAATGCAACTTTGTCAAAAAGTTTTTGTTTGACAGGGTTTATTCTACTAATAGTAATACCTAAACACTCATCTTTAGTTGAGAGATATGTACAATTTCATATAGTGAAGTTTCATGGAAATTGTGGAGGAAAAAAAGTAATTAAGAAAGTAGCCTATCACCTTTCTCGACCCGTGAAAAACTGGCTGAAGCATCGGACAGGTTGCCACTGTTTGAAGGAGCAGGCTGGCTGCAACTGAAACCGGTATCTGATGAACTTGTCACCGATTCAGCTTTAGATGATGTATTGGATCTGGTCGCAGCAGGTCTTTCCATGTTGTCACCTGTCATGAAAAACGAGAACTGCAGGTCAGTCAACTGATCAATATAGGCTCAACTTGCGCAACTTTTGAGTCCAAATATAGCGTGCCTGCGTATAGGGTCGCAAAGCCATGCCCCTTTTAAAATAGTCAACAGCAATATTGCTAAAACTTTGACTTTGTGTAAAAATCCAAAGCAAATTGTCTTTTTGAAGGAAATTAGATAATTTGCATTATTTACACCAAAAGTTACGATATTGATTAGATTTTTGTGGGTTTATGACTGAAAATTGATTTGGAATAATTTCCCGCCAAAACAAACAAATAAAAAAACAAAAGGTTGCAAAAACAAAGAAATACATTAGAAATTTTCAGAAACAATAAAAACACAAAAGAAATCAATTTCGATCCCACAATTTTTTTTCATGAGAAATCATTGAGAATGATAGAAAGAACATGAAGACCAAAAATCAGAAGTTTCAATGCTTTATTTTGAGATTTAGGACGACAAATATTACTTAGACGTGAATTAGCATAAATTAATTGATAACAATCAAAATATCTTTGAAAAATTGACAATTCAATTTTGTAGATTAAATGCTTGACTCGATGCAAAATTTCACAGCGATTGCGCGATCCATGGCCGAGATCAGTGGGAGGGGGGCACTTAGTGTCACCCCCCCCCCCCACCCCGGCTTTTTAATGGTCAATGAATGCAAATGTATACTTGTGACAAAACAATGGGCATTAATCGAATAGTTCAGACCGTAACTCTAGATTTGCAGGAGTACGACCAATGTTTTATTTTGGTCAAGAAATAATTCTCACATGAATATAAGATATCATAGTATTCTAAGAAAAGGGAGATGCAAATTCTTAAAGTTGGGCTTAATTCCAAATAATATTAGTGGAACACTGCCAAATGATTCAAATTACAAAGATATGGGTACAAGAAGAAAATGGTAATGGTGCAACATTGTACACACTAAAGCTCTACCTTCTCCATGGAATGAACTACTTGCAGAAGTAGATAAATCAAAACCCGCGCTGGTAGATGAAGTACTTGAAATCAACCCACCACTGGATGACCCACGCCCAGCTGAGGATCCTCCCATGCTGCCACCTGCAATCATAAAGAATTTCATGAGTTGAAATGTTGATTCAAAAGAGTTCTCTGGACCAAAAATAATTGATTTTCATAAAAAGCACAAAAATTTCCCCTACAAAATGGTTCAAAAATCATAAAAATTGGATGAGAAATAATGAAGTTATGATTTCTTTTTAGTTTTCAGAAAAACACTACTCGACCAGTCCCTATGAATATTCATTAGGGTCAATAAGGTGAAGTGATGATGTCATCTCGTCACAATTTATTACACAGTTAATGTATGATATGGTGGAAAAATGTAACCCTGCGTCAAACTTTGACAGAATAGACATGATTTCTCATTTTGGGAGATGTGAGAATGGCGGATTTAGTTTAGTTTTCCTGAAAATGATATTTTTGTATTTATTTTTCAATGAAATCAAAAGAAAATTGTGACGCGATGACATTATCACTTCGGCCCATTGAGTATTCATAGGGACTTGTTAAGAAGTGTGAGATATGAGAAAAGTATAAAAAAAATCATTACTTAATTATTTCTCATCCGATTTTTTAATAATTTTTGTACCATTTTGTAGGGGAAAAATTTCCTGATTTTTATGGAAATCAATTGAACTCTTTCAATCCCCCAAAATCACATTTTGACCCATTTTCTGGCCGACCAACTTTTTTCAAAGGGGTGCAGGCGCGCCAAATTTGGTCTCTAAAGTTGCGTGATGAGTGAAAAAATATTATCCGAAAATTTTGCAGTACGGGCATCTGGAGTTAATGTACGAAACGTTAGGGGGGGGGGGGGCTTTCGGCCTCCAGTCTTTATGAGGGTAAAATAATGAACAAAAAGACAAAAATCATATATGGTGAACTTTTTATCATAATACCTATACGTGCAATAGAACCCATTATTTCAGAAGATTACTCCTATCCTACCATACCATTAGAGCCATCCGTTGAGATAAGATGGACTGAAGAAAAGATCAACCTAAAAACTGTTTTTATGTTTTTAGTTGCATTCCGCGTTGTTTGTTCGATTGCAACATTAAAAAATTCACTCAAAACATCCGGAATGTATCCTTTTCCCCAAAGAACTATGCATCTCTTTTAGTAAAGGGGCATTATCATTTACAATATTTGAAAAGATAGGACAAACCACATTTACAGCCTGAACAAAATTATTCTAAATGGTTATCCATGTACAGCATTAATAATTTAATGTATAGATAATAAGCAATCACCTGAACCATCCATGTTCTGAAGCTGTTTTCCCACGACAGTTATCTCTTTCACAGCCAGTGGCGCTTGGTAGATGTTACGATTTGTTTCTGCAGAATGGCCGAGATGCTTAAATATGAAGCCTCGCTCTGCTTCTGGAACATCAGCAAGTGCAAACAAGACACTTATCCTATGTCTGTTCTTTGTAGCAGTAATTGTGCGCCTGTTTTCAAGATGTACCTTCTCACAGACATTGTCTAGCGCATGCCATCCAGACACATGCCCATCTGATGTGCCGGTTGTGGGAAACAGGTAAGTATTGTCTTCTCTCACTGAAGCAGCAGATCTCACATCTTCGCTGATAAGTTGATCAAGAGCAATATGTGTGTCTTTGGGAAAGAGGATAGGCACCAAATGCTTCCCCTTGCCTGTTTGGTAGCCTACTTTCAGTTCTTGTGCTAGACGTCTGTCTATCGGATCTAGATTATTTAATTGCTGCTGGTCAAGCCAGACGCCGTTTTTTGCATCCTTCCAGTGGGATACGTGCAACCTACTGGGTTCTCCTCCCCTTCTTGCATTAAAAAGGGTCAACCTTGTGACAACACAATCGCGGAGCTCAACGAACTTGTGTTTGTCAATGAATTTAAACTCATCCATGACAATGTCGTTAATCGTCTCCGTAGTGTAGTTTCTGATCGCTTTGATGTCAGTTTCGAGGGGCTGGTCACTGGGTCTTCTCAGTTTCTCTTCTCTTCTCTTGTTTAAGAGGTATGTGGCATCACCAAACATGTGGTTATGCTGTAATTCAAGTACTGCTGTGAATCTGTCCAAATCCTCAGCTGCTCTGTCATTGTCATCCATCAAATATGTGGCTTTCAGTATTTTCGCAGCTGACTTGAGTAGATAGTAGATCCCAAGTTTCAGTCCTGCTTTGACACCGGTGACACTGTCAGTTTCTTCATTTCTCTCTGTATATCGTTCCAAAGCTTCTTCCAGATGGCGAAAATTTGCACGCTGCATCATATCTGAGATGTTGTTTGCCTTTATCGGTAGGGTACCTAATGTCTCCTGCATCTCTTCAAATATCACATACAGTGAGGCTAACCTACGCATATCTGTCATTACTGACCTCTTGACTTGGACCTTCTTGTCCACTTTTTTCTTCTGCTTGGACCAGAGTCTCTTCCCTATTTCAAGTAGCACTGGATCCTCCTGACATATCCTCCCCACTTTATCTTTCCTAAATTTGCCCAAAATCTCATAGGCAAAATCACTGTCTGGATCTGGTATCTTAAGAAGAGTTATAGGAATTTTTCCAGCAGGCTTGCTTGCATCACTTTTCCTCATGCACAGTCGTTTGTGTTTTCTGATGTAACTGGAGGCGTAGGCACCAGAACATGTGCCACATATGACAATATCATCTGGAGATAAGCTGCTAGGCCCCCTTTCACGCTCAAAAGATGCTTCATTTTCTTTCACTCTCCTTTTGTTAACTACAAATGTTCCCTCTTTCTTTATATTCGCAAATTCAACATCTCTTTCGCCTTTAGGCAGAGAGAGTGCATATTTGACCCTAGGTTCATCACTATGTTTCTTCTTGAGGTGATCAGAAAGCTTGCTTCTAAAAATTTTACAATATATACAGAAACGGTAGGGTTTCTTGTAATGTTTCTTTCTATCACTTGCAGAGTTATTCTCCTGATGAGAAGTGTCAGAAGCAATGCTCTTGTCTTCATTGCACTGACGACTTTCCACACTTGGTTTCGCTGTGGTGAGGGGAAATTCAATGCTCCCTTCAGAATCAGATTGAATGTTAGAACAGTCAGACGGGATATAGTCAGGGTCACGGTCCTCATCATCTGTAAAACTTTCCAAATGCCGCCGTTTGATTGTGAACATTCCATCGCAGTCATTGGTATTTTCGTCACTTGAGCCACCGATGCTCGTATCATCTGTTAGAGTGCAGTTTGGACTAGATTTATCTGTTGTCCTACTGTTATCATTCTCAGTCTGGTTGCATGCTGAAATAGACTCATAAGGTGCCTTGCTAATGACTTGAGATGGGCTGTAGGCTTGAACAGGCTCAACAGGTGACGTGACAGTATCCTGAATCAGGGTGTCGGCTGGTGTAGGCTCTGGTGCCTTGCTAATGACTTGAACAGGCTCAACAGGTGACATGACAGTATCCTGAATCAGGGTGTCGGCTGGTGTAGACTCTGGTGCCTTGCTAATGACTTGAACAGGCTCAACAGGTGACGTGACAGTATCCTGAATCAGGGTGTCGGCTGGTGTAGGCTCTGGTGCCTTGCTAATGACTTGAACAGGCTCATCAGGTGACGTGACAGTATCCTGAATCAGGGTGTCGGCTGGTGTAGACTCTGGTGCCTTGCTAATGACTTGAACAGGCTCAACAGGTGACGTGACAGTATCCTGAATCAGGGTGTCGGCTGGTGTAGACTCTGGTGCCTTGCTAATGACTTGAACAGGCTCAACAGGTGACGTGACAGTATCCTGAATCAGGGTGTCGGCTGGTGTAGGCTCTGGTGCCTTGCTAATGACTTGAACAGGCTCATCAGGTGACGTGACAGTATCCTGAATCAGGGTGTCGGCTGGTGTAGACTCTGGTGCCTTGCTAATGACTTGAACAGGCTCAACAGGTGACGTGACAGTATCCTGAATCAGGGTGTCGGCTGGTGTAGGCTCTGGTGCCTTGCTAATGACTTGAACAGGCTCAACAGGTGACGCGACAGTATCCTGAATCAGGGTGTCGGCTGGTGTAGGCTCTGGTGCCTTGCTAATGACTTGAACAGGCTCAACAGGTGATGTGACAGTATCCTGAATCAGGGTGTCGGCTGGTGTAGGCTCTGGTGCCTTGCTAATGACTTGAACAGGCTCAACAGGTGACATGACAGTATCCTGAATCAGGGTGTCGGCTGCTGTAGGCTCTGGTGCCTTGCTGATGACTTGAACAGGCTCATCAGGTGACGTGACAGTATCCTGAATCAGGGTGTCGGCTGGTGTAGACTCTGGTGCCTTGCTAATGACTTGAACAGGCTCAACAGGTGACGTGACAGTATCCTGAATCAGGGTGTCGGCTGGTGTAGACTCTGGTGCCTTGCTAATGACTTGAACAGGCTCAACAGGTGACGTGACAGTATCCTGAATCAGGGTGTCGGCTGGTGTAGGCTCTGGTGCCTTGCTAATGACTTGAACAGGCTCATCAGGTGACGTGACAGTATCCTGAATCAGGGTGTCGGCTGGTGTAGACTCTGGTGCCTTGCTAATGACTTGAACAGGCTCAACAGGTGACGTGACAGTATCCTGAATCAGGGTGTCGGCTGGTGTAGGCTCTGGTGCCTTGCTAATGACTTGAACAGGCTCAACAGGTGACGCGACAGTATCCTGAATCAGGGTGTCGGCTGGTGTAGGCTCTGGTGCCTTGCTAATGACTTGAACAGGCTCAACAGGTGATGTGACAGTATCCTGAATCAGGGTGTCGGCTGGTGTAGGCTCTGGTGCCTTGCTAATGACTTGAACAGGCTCAACAGGTGACATGACAGTATCCTGAATCAGGGTGTCGGCTGCTGTAGGCTCTGGTGCCTTGCTGATATTAATACTCGCTCTCCATGGAGCATTTGGATTTCCATAGTCATATCGGATTTCCTCCCCTGCAAGAATTTCTGTCTTAGACATGATTATCAGGTGAGGATTTCCGTCAACAACCACCTTCCGCACAGTTGCATTTTCATTCAATCCCTTGGCATCATTGGCATACCTGCCATTGGTCATCGAGTCATAGGCATCAATGCTGAAATTAGAATGGATAAATGATGGAAGACTTATCATATTTTGACATTGGCAGGAAATGCAGGAGAAATTAGATTGACTAGAAATAAGATGTAGACCCTGTTTAGAAAGGCTGAGAATGATTGATTGAGCACGTGAGACTGAGAGCTTCCCAATACATGACATGAAGATTTTCATGTGAGACTTAAGGTGGGAACTGACAGCACTGGACAGCAATACCCATAGACCTTCTCACTAAAATGCAACCTATGTAAAAACAAAAAAAATTGCCACATGGGATTTTTTTAAATATATATATATTGGCCTATCACAATGGATCTATAAATTTATCGAGAACAGTCAACAGACTTTCTTAACAAAATCCAATGGAGTACAGTAAGGTAAAGAGAGTCTTGTGTCATGTGAGCCACAATAGAAAACTTTGGATATCTCGTACACGAATAAATTTTGACCAAACTTTTTTTGTTTAAAAAAGAGGGTTGCTATGCCCTTGATATAATTTTGAAGGAAGAAAAGTTCTAAGAAAAATATTTTTCAAGTTATCAAACTGGAAACATGAAGTTTTCTGAAAATGTCAGACGAGTCACAATGAAAATGGATGATTATTTTATTCACCTCGATATTCCATAAAACATAATGTTCGTAGGTCGACTTACAGTTCTGCCCGATAATCATTGGCAAATCCTTTATAATGATTTTCGTATTTCGACTTTGTAATTCTGCCAGATTAATCTTTTAATTGGACTTTTTATGGCTCTAATAATGTCACTGACAATATCCACTAAAAAAAAATAGAAATAATCATATCGAAAAAACAGAGAAATACATAAGAAATTCACAAAACAATAAAATACATAAGAAATTAATTTTGATAGCAATTCTATTTTTCAAGATTATTTGTTGGGAACACTACTTGGAGTATGTAGACCACAAATCAGCACATTTGGAGCTCCTGTAAGTGATTTATTTCTGTTTATTAGAATTCGTGCATGCATAATTAACACTTGATAAGCATAATCAATAAATTTTCTTTTTAATTTAACTACGCAATCTGAGAGTTAACATCACAGGTTATGTGCATGCCGAATTTCAGCACGATCGTGCGATTAACGGCCGAGATCAGAAGGGAGGGGGCAAAAAGCCCCCCCCCCCCCCCATCCCCCATGGACTGAAGTGATCGAAATATCCCAATGGGATTAGAATTAAACTTGCCCTCATCATGGACAACATCATCTGCTTCACGGCTAACCACTTTTGGGACGTGTTATGGCCATGATTAGGCCATATAGCTCTGTGGGACCGGACCTTATAATTCAAAGATCAGAACCCTCTTGAATCTATCAATACATGTAAGATTCTCTTCAAGAAAATAAGCTTCATACATAATCTTACCAATGTGTTATTTCTCTGTGTTTGAAGTAGAATTTGTAGTCATTGTTCTTTGTTTCTTCCTTGTCATTGCATTTGTTTCCTCTCAATAGCTTCCCTCCATACTCTACTATAAAGGTGTCCTTTTGAAAAGTCTTTGTAGCAAACAGTCCATTTCCTGGAGCATTAAAGAAAAAAAGAGAAATATTGGGAAGGCAACGTGAGATACCTACCTGCATGAAAATTAATTAAACCAGAGAAAATGGAATGACTTTAGTAGCAAGCATTTTCATCTGGAACGTAATACCGAATATAAAAAAAAACACACACAGCCTTTAATATGCTTTGTCACCAACGAAAACCTGGATTTTATGTTGTTTCAGTAGATGAAGAAAAATAAATTGAAACTGTAAAAATTTGAGCAAAATCCGATAATCCGTTCAAAAGATATGAATTTTCAAATTTTCAGTGATGTCCTGTCATGGGGATCCTTGAGTCGGCAACGTCGACCAATGAGTCGGCTACGTTCACCAAATCTGTGAAGTATTTGCGGACAACTCTCCATTCATTCTGTACACAAAATTTATCATTTTCTTCTTTTCTTCAGAAAAGTGGACACAGTTTTCATTTTTCTCTTTAGTATAACATACATGTGTAAGTTAATTCTACAAGTATTTTTGGAAGAATGATGTTGAATAATCATGGTATATTTGATCTAATTACATAATTATTAGGATCCCCATGACAACTAGGAGATCACTGAAACTTTGAAAATTCGTAATTATTGAACGGATTATCCGATTTTGCTCAAATTTTTGCAGTTTGATCATCATATTTTTCTTCATCAACTGGTAACAAATTGAATCCAGGGTTTCTTTCTCCTTTAAGGCAGTGGTGGGGGACTCTACAGGTACTCTTTTGTTTAAAGGGGAACCAACCCGTGGAATTATCGTGCTCTCATAGAATGAAGGAAAATCAGATTAACAAATTTGAGCAAAATCGGATAAACCGTTCAAAGGTTACGAATGTTTAAATTATCAATAATACCACGATCCCTTCTGCTGAAGGGGATCTGTGCGGTCAGCAAATTTGAGATAATCTGTGACGTACTTGCGGACAACTTCTCATTCACTTTGTATAATTTTTTTATGGATTAAAGTGACATTAAGAGATTGGGAATCATCATATTTCCCAAATACATGCAGAGTCAACCAAGACATGACACACTGGAGAGAAAAATCTGAATTTTGTTGAATTTTCTGAAAATACGAAAAAACCTTTGAAATTTCGTACACAGAGTGAATGAGGAGTTGTCCGACAATTCCATCAATGTTGCCGAGCGCACGGTTCCCCGTCAGCAACAGGGATCGTAAGATCTTGGAGAATTTGAAAATTTATAAGTATTGAACGGATTGTCTGATTATGCTCAAATTTGTACACTTTGTTCATTTGATTTGAGAACACGATAATTCCAAGGGTGGGTTTCCCTTTAAGTGGGGATTGTTTCACCCCCCCCCCCCCCCTCCTCCCCAGTCGAACAAAACGTGACGTAGAGTTCGCTGCAAGTGTATTTATATGAAATATGTTCAACAAAACAAAAGTATGTATAAAACATAAAGCACATGTTCAAAGAGTTTTTAAATTGGAGCAAGGGCTTGTACAGGTGTAGTCTTCTTTTTAGCATGAATTTTTAGTGAATTATTAGAGATTTAGGGAAATTTGTAAATTTGCAGTCTATCTTTAAATTTGTCTTTGAATAAAACCGTATACAGACAACAGGTCATTTTAACACCTTCTGAAACCAAAACTCACAAAAGCTTTCTCATTATACAAGAACAAGATACTAACCTATAACATCACTAACAAACTTGACTTCAGTCCCTGGTGGATCTTGTTTGTTCTTTATCCAGTAGATATATAAGGGTTCTGCTGCATTCTTACATACACGTTTCCGCTTAATAGTTGTAAGAAAAAAATCCATAGAGAATAGGTTGGTGTACTAACTATTATATATCTATCTCAGACTTCCTACTTCAAAATTTAAAAAAAGAAAAGTTGAAAGAAAAACAGTTAATAACTAAATTGGGTTTACAATAATAGCATTGAGCCGAACGCGCGCTGCGTTCTCCGTGCAAGATACACATCTAAATTTATATCATCGATATTGAAAGTCATGTCTGCACGTGGTCCATTTCCAAAAACTGCACCACCCCCCCCCAAAAAAAAAAAATGAATACTGGTAAATAAATGAATAATAATAACAAAAATAAATAAATGAATGAATGAATAAATAAATAAATTTCAGTTACAATACAAGTTAGATATGAGCTTTCATTTAAAATTGCTAATCATTTCATTAATTTGCACATTTCAGTAGGTTATACCGGTAATGTAATCTTAAAGGGGAATTACACCCAGACATTAATGTGTGGTCAATTAATGAAGAAAAATAAGATGAACAAACTGTGTAAATTTGAGCAAAATCGGACAATCCATTTAAAAGTTATGAATTTTCAAAGTTATCATTTCCACCTGTGATGGGCATCCTTGAATTGGCAACTTATAGCCAGTTAGCATAATCGGTTATGTCATACATGGGGAATAAAATGGATCCAAATCATATTTGAAATGAGGAATCAACACCATTCTTTCTGGAATGCTGCAAAATTGATTATATTTAACTGAAAAAAAAAACAAATTTTTGTCTACGTTTTCCGGAAAAAGAGGAAAATGTGAATTTTTTTTTACAAAGTGAATGGAGAGTTCTCCACGTTGGCAGCCATTTTGTGCCCGTACGTTGCGAATTCAAGGAGCCCATGACGGGTGTAAATCAAAACTTTGGAAAGTCACAGTTTGTTCAGCTTATTTTTCTCCCTTTACTGACTGCACAATAATGTCTGGGTGTAATTTCCCTTAATATACAATATGGTCATCTCTAGCTTCTAAGTCAATATGTGTAGGTCAGATGCAGATCGTTTTTTTAACAACTTATCAGAATATGTTTCAATACTTAATAGGCAATGCATTATTTTTAATGAAACTTACCTTTGGTCTGTGGGCCATTTTTGGATGTCTCTTGTCCATGCTGAAAAAAGGGGAACTCAGTTAATTTTTGATAAATCAAAAAATGAATAAATATTTGTATAAAATAGGTGTATGAGAGAGCGTGCATGAATAAGACTCGCAGTCAGTATCTAGGGATGACTCAAGCTGGCAGGTATAAATTAAAGTGAGAGTTCAACTTCGTTACGTGACTAACATAAATCTACCCATGCACTCAATGGATTCACTAACAATTATGAATCTTCAAGTCTAACCACAGCTACTAGAAACAAGCAAGAAAAACTAGCCTATGGTGTCCGGACACTTAACATGCGCGCACCCAGGATTTGAACACCCGGGGGGCTCGACCATTAATAATTTTAAGGTCCTCACTCAAAGTTTTGCCCCCCCTGGCAGAATTTTGCGCCCCTTTAACCAAAATTTTGCGCCCCCTATAACTTTGACCCGGGGGGCTAGCGCCCCCAAAGCCCCCACGGTGCGCGCATGCTTAACACAAGTAAAATCGCCTCTTTTGCATTTGAATTTCACAAAAACTATGGCTCAAGTAATAAAAATATCTGTGAGCATTTGTGCTTTATAATATTTTTTGACAATATAGGGTCTATTCAATCAAATTCTGGAATCTTGCTTCTAAATAGACTAGGTCTAGATCTAGGTCTATCTTGAAATTGCCGTTTTGTCCGGATAACCAACTTGTCCGGACACCCTAGACCTATACCCAAAGCTTTCCCAATTAGAATGACACAATTTAAAAAGAAATAAAGATGTGAAGGAAAAAATTCCCCTTAACACCCGATTCCCTTTATGATACGGATTATAGTGATGTATATTCCCCCAAAGGCCCAATACTATAGCCGCAATTATGCTTTCTAACGGTCTAACTAACCCCGTTTGTTATGAGTGGGGCCTCAGTAAATCGTGTGACCTATTTCTTATTCAGTGCGGGCCAAATGCACTAAAAATAAACACAGGGTCGGTGTATTCTGCTTGGCCTACTTATCTCTAGATCTAGACGTTTATCATGACACAACAGTTGAGAAAACAAAGCTTACCGAGAATTTATGGCACATGTAGCGTAGCATCTGTACGTACGGCATCGAGTCCCTCCAGCTCATACCTCTATGCGCCGCAGCTTTAGCTTCGGTACTGGTGCGCGCGCGCCGCGCCGCGCGCAGATAGCTGAACTGAGCAGATGAGCGATCGAATTCTCGGATCGGATATATACAACGCACGGTGCGTGCGAACAAGTTGAATAATTTTTTGAAGCTGCAAAAATGAATGTTTTGTCTTAAGTTTTTATTTGACGAGTATATTCAATGCGCTGATAATATCAAGATTTGTTACATTAGTAGATAACAGATCGACGGTAGATAATAAAATATACTCGTCCTCCCGCGACAGCAAGTGACATAAATATGATTTGCCCCGTTCGACCGTTTTTTCATCAAACCCAATATACACCCCAATTTTCGAATCGATAGTATTTGCGATTCTCTTTATTCGAATTCAACGAAAATTAAATTGGAAGTACATACCCCCTCTAAGGTCAAATAGGGAAAGTCTGACGTGGCTTTCTCAATGGGAACGACACACAAAGCAATAAAGATGTTAAGGAGAATCAAAAATTTCACCTTAACGCCAAATTCCCCTGATGATACGGATTATAATGATGTATATTCCCCCAACAGCTGCATTTATATATATATATATATATATATAACTTTGCATGGGACCTTTGGGAGACATCATCAAAATAGGTATATTTGGGGGACATTTTACATTTCTGTTCAGACTGCCCCTATATAGAAACCATGTATCTTCTACAATATTAGAGAGTGCTTCTTATAGCAGCATAAATTGATGCTTTTACAATTTGAGTCAGTAAAAAATTCAATTCCAGATATAGCTTTTACATGTGCATAAAAATGTCTCCTTAACGTTTTTTTTACTCCAGATAGCACATTCAGGAGACAGTAATTTTTTTAGCCACCTTTAGGAGACATGTCTCCCTAATACATATTTATGAGCAAAATCAAATAACTATGCAGGTGCAACACGACTGTGTAGTTTTACCTGTTTACAATGTTAAAAAGGTATGAAAGCCTCATTACCATGCACCAGTACTATAACTAAACAAACAAAGTATTTTCTTACTTTAGTAACATAATATCGTATTTCATTTCAGTGCAGTTTGACAAGTACAATAAGCAGACACTTTTGAGTGGAATAAGTATATTAAGGAGACAATTCTATACATCAATGCACATACAAAAATATACATCTTATATGCATAATTGATGGGGGCGATTTTAAAGTTTAACACACGTATTATTTATATTCCAACGCAGATTCCTGACCTAGATTATTGTGCTCATGGTTATGAAACCAAACATATGTCATTGAAGTCCAGAATTTCATTTGATGTAATTATTATATAATACTTCATTCAAGTGTAGTTTGACAAAGTACAATAGGTAGACACTTGTGAGTGGAATAAGTATATTTAGGAGACAATTCTACACAATATATTATATATTGATGGGGGCGATTTTAAAGTTTCACATATATATTCGGAGGCGCTGTGGTGTAGTGGTTTGGGCTCTCGTCTTTCAATACGAGGGTCGCGGGTTCGAGTCCCACTATTGCCCAGTTGCTCATACTCTTCAGCAGGGGTATTTATCTGTGAACGCTGCTCCCTACCCAGGAGTGATGGGAACCTTGGTCGGGTGTTTAAAAGCCCAGAGCGCCCGGTGGCTGCCTCGGCTTGTATGCTCCCCAGGGAGTTGAGAGTGTGCTCAAGATAATTGGGCGGGTTTGCAATGTACCTGATGATCAGGGGGTAATATATGTGCGCCTTGAGCACTCTACAAAGGGGATGCGAGCGCGGTATAAATCGCATGTATTAGTATTATTATCGTGGATGGTACCTTTGGGAGACAATAGGGGGTTTGAGCAGGTATATTACGGAGACAAAATGAATAGGGAGACAATTTTGTGTCTCCCTAACGTTTCAGCATGTATTTTACGTACTTTCCAAACATTATTATTATTATTAGTATTATTATTTTCTAACGCAGATTCTTGACCTAGATTTTTGTGCTCATGGTTATGAAACCAAACATATGTCATTGAAGTCCAGAATTTCATTTGATGTAATTATTATATCATACTTCATTCAAGTGTAGTTTGACAAAGTACAATAGGTAGACACTTGCGAGTGGAATAAGTATATTTAGGAGACAATTCTACACAATATATTATATATTGATGGGGGCGATTTTAAATTAGCGTGGATGGTACCTTTGGGAGACCTTTGGTGGTTTGAGCAGGACTATCACGGAGACAAAATAAATAGGGAGACATTGTTTGTCTCACTAACGTTCCAGCATGTCTTTTACATACTTTCCAAACAGATCAGCTCAGTTCAACACATATCGGTTGCATCCGTTTTATTTTTCAACGCAGATTCCTGACCTAGATTATTGTGCTCATGGTTATGAAACCAAACATATGTCAATGAAGTCCAAAATTTCATTTGATGTAATTATTATATCATATTTCATTCCAGTGTAGTTTGACAAAGTACAATAAGCAGACACTTGCGAGTGGAATAAGTACTTTACGAAGGCAACCTTGCACAATATATTTTGTATTCATTGAATGGCAATTTTGAATTTTTTGTGCATTTATCTTCCGTATTTCTTGACGCAGCTTCTCTGCTTCTAAATGATGATGCATTGATGCTATATATTTCATTTAGTAGCGTTATATACTCCCAAGGGCGACGGAACCTATTTTTATTTTATTTTATTACTATTTTTATTCATTTATTTTTTGTGGGGGGGGGGAGGGGCAAAGGCCCCAAGGGACACTATTATGTTAAAAAGGGCACTTCGTGAGGGAGCGGAGCGACCGAGCGTGGGGGGCGGGGGTGTCTCCTTCAAACGGCAGGGAGATTTTTCAATTTTGTGGATCAGAATTACGTAATCTGGTGTATAAAGTAATAAGGTTTTCAAAACCAGCCCCAACCCGCTATCTATGTTTTTGTCTTTCCAGATAATCAAATGTATTACAGGGGGAGGGCGTGTCCCCCCTCCCACAGCAGGGAGATTTTTCAAATTTAGGGATCAGAATTACGTAATCCGGTGCATACAGTAATAAACCCGACCCCACCCCGCTATCTACGTTTTTGTCTTTCCAGATAATCAAATGTACTACAGGGGGAGAGTTGGAAGGGGGGTATCCCCCTACCCCCCCTACCCCCCCCCCCCCCCCCCCCCCCCCCCGCCCTGGTTCCGCCGCCCCTGTATACTCCACTAGAAAAACAAAACAAACATAATTCACACAATCAAACAAGCTCATGAGAAACGGACAAAAAAAAATGACAAGATTTTGGCCACAAACTTTCTCAAACATGGTTCAACCAAAAGGTGTTGGTAAATTGTACAGGGAAACCCGGTTATAACGAGCTCACTTATAACGAGGTACCAGTTATAACGAGGCTAATCTTTTGACCCCGATTCACTTATTCATTTAAATGTTAATTGTGAATTTGGCCGTTTATAACGAGGTAAATTTGATAGTCCTGACTACCTCGTTATAATGGGGTTTCCCTGTATTTATGTTACTAAGGATATCTTTTAAATCATAAGATGTGAAACATTTGTGTATATCTTTAAATTTAATGCAGTAACAACACAGGGTTTGTGATGTGCATAGTGCAGCTCTACAAATATTCAATATTTCCACCTTTTCTGCAAATTATTTTGAATATTTTCTTTCCAGTATGTATGGAAAATGCCCTTAAGATAATCTTACTAAAAAGTTACAGATACAATAACAACATCGAAATGTTTGTACGGCTCAGCTTTTCCTATAATACAATAGGAACAAGGAGATTCCTGGTGTGTAGGAGACCCCTGTACATTTAAAACTTCTATATGAATGTTATGTTAAAACAAATGACCTAAATTTCAGATAAAACAGAATTTTAGAAGGTGTTAAATTGTCGGAATGGCCGTTCTTTATTCTGTACTAATGACTGAAATTTCAGAATTATATCCTGCGTTCATGAAATACCTTATGCATATTTTCTAATGCCTCATCACACTTTCTTAATTCAAAATGGACTGTGAATAATAAATTATACATGTACTTTAGTCTAAGGAAACTCTAATGACATATTATTTGATCAGGTTTTCCAACCCTCAAAAGATAGCGCTAATTTTAAAGTACATTGTACTGTATAGCCTTTTACTTTGATATTTGCAAATTTTGATAAACTTTTCACATAAACATATACATCATCCTTCTTTGAAAAAAAACACCAGCACTGTCCACATCGTGAATGGCAGTGCATCTGGGCTTCTGAATCCTCAAACATCAACCAGAATTAACAGGATTTCCATATTTACAAACATGAGAAACATTCTAACAACTTGATATAAATGCCATTTCAACTTAACACACAAAGAAGTTTTATAACATTGCAACTTTTTACAATAGATTGTAAGAGAGAATAAAAAATCTCATTAACAGAGAAGCATCTGAAACAAACAAGAGCCCTAGGGGGGCACAACGTTCACCCGAGGTCGATCAATTCACATCTGGCGCATGTTCTCTCTGGCACCCACAGGAGATATGAAAATGTTCGTTTCTCCTGGAGGCCACCCCCCCCCCCAAGTTACCCCCACTTGGCCCCTCAGGGGCCACCCACATAAATGTCATGAACAATGTGTATTCTTCATAAATTGAGGCATCTGTAAGCATAATACCAGGTATGGCTTACTTCTGGATCTAGAGTAGATGTTTGGCATTTACATAATTTATTACTCTTGGGGACCTTCAACTGGGCCCCTGGGGCTGAATTGTAATTTATAAGCAACTATGGATCCCCTACACTTTAGAATGATTTCAACCACATTTGGATGAAATATAATCATTTATTTAAAAGAAGTAGAAAAAATGCTCATTTCACCTGGTAGTTCCCCCCAACATGTTATCCCCACAGGACCCCCTCAGGGGCTATCCAAAGAAATGTCATGAACAACTTTCATTCTGTATCAATAGAGGTATCTTTACACCATAGTTCTGGATCTTAAGAAGAAGATGTTTACAATTAACATATTTTTTACATTTGGCGTCATCCCCCAGGGCCCCCTAGGGGCCATGCCCACCATTTTAGCAACTTTGGTTCCTATACCCCTGAGGATGATTCCTGTCAAGTTTGATTGGAATCCTATCATTGGTTCTGGATAAGAAGATTAAAATGTACAAAGTTTACGCACAATGGACGACACACGACGCACCCATAAGGGCCCTGTGGGGGTAACATTTTTTAGGGGGCCCTACTACAATTTTGTTTCTTTTTATCTATTATTATTGGTATTATAATTATCATTTACATAATATATTCTGATGTAAACTTCAGAGAAATATTTGAAACAAAACCAAGTATACATGCAAGTTTCATTTTATGAGACACTGTCATAAAATAAAGTGAAGACCACCACATGAAATTTCAAAAAAGACCATTAATAAGTAATTATACTTCGGTCTCAGGATACCCTAAACATGTTATTTGGCAAATTTTTCCCACCCTAAGAAAGTAAAGATATTGTAAAAGTATAGACTTTTACCTGATAATTGCAATTTTGATAACCTTTTCATGGTAAACACATACATCATCATCCTGTGAAAAACAATACTTTTTACATGCTTTTCTGTAACAGCATAGTGTTCACATTGTAATGGCAGTGCTCCCAGAGTTCTGAATAGTCCAAAAGCAACCAGGAATAGGAAAAAGAGAGATAAACTGACATTCTTACAACTTGATATAATAAGGCTCAAGAAGTTCTATTACACTACAATTTCTTCAAATATTTAAAAACAAAACAAAATCTAAGCATCAGAGAAACATTTGAAACAAAACCAGGTATAAGTGTCATTTTATGACACCTAAAATACTGAAGCTCAAAATATTGAGGAATAATAAATTATACATGTACAACACTACAATGTTTGGTGAGTCCAAGAATACAAACTTTATTGAATGAAATACAGTAGAAACCGCACATGCTGATCTTGTGTAACTCGAATATTAAGACAACTCGAAGGAAAAAACGTTAGAGATTTATCTCCATAGAATTACGTGTACTAATTAGCTGTATCAGCCAAAGTTTTATGTCAAGTATTCGTCCCAGTCGATGAAAAAACAGAACACTCCAGTGAAAACAGCATGTGATTCACATCCCATAAGTCAAAGAAAATCAGTCACCATCATTGTGCTGCTCAATAAAGCAAGCTCCATGGACACTCATATATGATATTAGACAGTTGCGTCTTATTCACTCTTGCTACAGCAAAGCATCGAGCAGCTTGTACCAGTCTTCACTGAAAGCTTGCGGCTCTTTTCCCCAGAATGCACGCCCATTTCACCCGCTCGTTCATTACTTTGTTGCGGACTGCCTGCCAAGTGAACCTCAGCTGGTACTCTTTCAGAAACGTCTCAACTTCTTTTTTCCCTACATAGTAATTTGATAAAACAGATACAAATTTTGAGATGCACTCTTATTGATCATATTGATAGAAGATTGCATTCATTCAATTTAAAAATGGTAAATCTAATCTAATCAATCATTAATACACCAAGAATGGCATGTGAAAACACTACATTCCCATTTAACTTGGGATGTGTGATCCAACCAGATGCCCCCCCCCCCCAAAAGAAACATGTTATTTTTGCCCCACGTGCCCCTCCCCCTCTCCCCCATGTAGGAACTAGATGGAACTTCGACTGCGCGCAGTCGAGAAAGATGCCTCCGTCATAGAGCAAGTTTACAAACCAAAACAGAAGAAATTTTTCAAATTCAATTTTCTTGTAATCCATTAACAGGTTCTCAGAATATTGTGATTACAACCAATTTCTCATATACATATATGACCCTTTGATCTTTGATCTCATGACCCAAGAATCTACTCAGTTCATTGGAAGATAAGCAAGATACATACATGATCTAAGTTTGGCAGGAATCCATCAATCTGTTCAAATGATAATGCGATCACAAGCTATTTGCATACATAATGAGCCCCATGACCTTTGACCTTGACCTCATGACCCCAAAATCTAATCAGTTCATCGGCTCTGCGAGAAACATACATGACCTAAGTTTGGCAGGAATCCAACAATTGGTTCCTGAGATAACGCGATCACGAGCTGTTTTTGCATACATAATGAGCCCTGTGACCTTTGACCTTTGACCTCGTGACCCCCAAATCTAATCAGTTCATCGGCTCTGCAAGATACATACATGACCAAAGTTTGGCAGGAATCCATCGATCGGTTCTTGAGATACCGCGATCACGAGCTGTTTTTGCATACATAATGAGCCCTGTGACCTTTGACCTTGTGACCCCAAATCTGATCAGTTCATCGGCTCTGCAAGATACATACATGACCACAGTTTGGCAGGAATCCATCAATTGGTTCTTGAGATAACGCGATCACGAGCTGTTTTTGCATACATAATGAGCCCTGTGACCTTTGACCTTTGACCTCGTGACCCCAAAATCTAATCAGTTCATCGGCCCTGCAAGATACATACATGACCAAAGTTTGGTAGGAATCCATCAATCGGTTCTTCAGATAACGCGACGTACGGACGGACGGAGGCATAAAAAGTGTATTCCGAGTCCCTCCTAAGCACAGCTTTGTAGATATACTGAGCTGACAAAGTCTGTTTCGTTGATTTTTGTCACACACAAAGCCACTTCTATAAACAATACAAGGCGAACTAACCTGGGATAGATCTTGAAGATTTTCCTTTAATGATGTCACTGAAATGCTTGGCAACCAATTCTGAATGAGCTTTGTTCCATCTTGTGTAGTTGCGGGCTGCAATAAAAGTAATCCAAAGTCATAACAAATACACACTGGCAGCGAGTGGATATAAAGGTACATACAACTAGAAAATTTGAACAGCCCTAAATTTGCCTTTGCTTGAGGAAATTGTACTTTTCAAGCAAATATGAAATGCAAAGTGAGTGTTAGCTTTTTAAAGAAGTCATCAAAGCAATGCATGGGATATGTCTGTTTTACACAGATGGCTGCTGTTTCAGTGTGTGCAAATATGTAGCTGACACCCTTAACATAGTTTATTCACTAAAGGATGGAGCTTACATGAATAAAAAAATGACTGTCCAAAACTAATGCTGTTATCCGATCCGGATCTGATCCGAGAGCTCGGCGGTAATCGCTTCCGAGCCGATTCCGAGACGGGATCCGAGAAATATTATTTCTCGGAGAAAATATCGAAGATTTGCCGACCCATTTTCTCTAGTAATAACTGAAAATGTGTATGTTTGACAGTCCATTAAGTAGTGTAATTTAAATAACTAATGAGGAAAGCAATATTGTTTACTTTATAAGTGGTTATTTTGTAGATTTATTTTTGTATTTATCTCACTTAGGAATGTTCAATACATGTATCCCCACTTCAACCAGTAATGTACAGTCCCTTTAATCACAGTGTCATGTGATTATATCACTCACACTAGCAGAATAGATCCATACCTTTCTTGGCATTAGCTGATTCACTTGCGTTTTCACAGTCACTCTCACTTTCCTCAACAAAAGGCACTGGTCTTCTGCGTCGGCCTGGAAAATGCAAAGAACATTGTCTGGTAAAAGGCTATTCAAAGAAAAATGAAAATTACAGCCTTGATATTGCTTTAGAGAAGTAGAGATAACTAAACTTGAAAGCATTCTATAAGGTGGACTATTATGGCATGAGGATTTATTTTCTTCAACACGAGTAACCATGTCCTCATTCTGCATAATGCCTATAGCAAGCATAAACATTGTTATTACGCTTATCTAATAAACTTTAAAAATTCAATTGAATTTACATACTTCTCTTGGTGTTAAGTGTCAGACTCTGTAGTGGCCTTCTGCTGGATACCAGTGGCTGCCTACTGCTGGACACTGATGGCTGCTGGCTGGCCAATGTATGACTGCCTGTTCCAACACCTACAGCATGTCAAGATTTTTTTTATTTTTTTATAGAAATATAAGAATTAAAAAGGCTAGTTATTTTTAGCCTTATTTAAAGTCTGAGATCATGCATTTTACACATATGAAGTGCTCTGGGCATGATTCAATGCTTGTTAATTAATTTCATTTAGTATGCCTCAGTCTCCAATGTAGATGTACTTGAAAACAAAGCTTCAGGACCTTTCGACACAAACATATGACTGATTTATATATATGTGCAGGCCTAGTCTGTACATTCCTTCCTCGGCATAGCCGGATTCACTTGGGTCATCACTGTCACTCTGACTCTCAACAAAAGGCACACATCTTCTTCGTTGGCCTGAAAAATATAATGAACCTTACTGTATAAAATGCAACTCAATTATCATTTTAAGATGAAAGAAAAAAATGGCATTTGGTATTGTTGCTTTTGGGGGAAAAAAAAACATTTAACTCAAAAGTATTCTGTGAAGATTATACATGCAGACGTGAGGTATTTTGGTATGTCACTTTGTTTCCATCTTCACTGGCTAACATGAACATTCTGTTGCCTACAGTAACTACAATTGCACTGCAATTATTATGCATCTTTAAAAATGTTAAAGCAGAAAATTTTATCAGATTGTACATACTTTTCTGGGTCTGCATTGTCTGACTCTGTAGTGGCCTACTGCTGGATACCAGTGGCTGCCTACTGCTGGACACTGATGGCTGCTGGCTGGCCAATGTATGACTGCCTGTTCCAACACCTACAGCATATTAAGAAAATTATGATCTTTATTTTGTTTGTAACCCCAACTAGGGTCATTTTCAGACATCGGCTATTTGGATAGGTCTTGTTGTCCTGAGACTTATTTAAAGTCTGGGACTTGGTATTATCGATGTAAAGTTTATGTGGATTTATAGATTGCATTTGTATTATTGAAGGGGATATACTGTGTATGTACAACAAATCTATTTAACTAACTGTTTTAAAAATAACAAAAAAGTACCCCTTTATAAAATACCCTGATGAGTAGTTATGTATGGGTAATTGAAATTGAAAATAAAGACCAAACCAATGCAAAAGAGTAGTAAATGCTCTTACCAGAATCTATGTGTTGAAGAATACTTCCAACTTGCGTTACTTCCTGGATGGCCAATGGAGTTTGATAAATATTCTCATTTATCATTCCTGAGTGTCCCATGTGCTTGAAAAACAAAGCTCTCTTGGCCTCGGGCAACTCAAAGGCAGCGTACATTGTGCTCACTCTATGTCTATTTTTAGTGGCATTGATTTGTGCCTTGTTCACGATGCCTGCTGCCTTGCATATGCTATTCAGTGCATGCCAGCCTGTGACATGGGACATCGACTTCTGTGTGCATGCAAAGACGTATGTGTTATCACTTGGTATGCCAACCATCTCCCTGACTTCGGGGTCGCACAAACGTTGCATTGCTTCCACTGTATCTTTGGGAAACAAAACAGGAACTAGGTGATTGTTTCCTTTCCCGGTCTGATACGCCACTTTGAAATTTTGAAGCATGTCCCTTTCTAGAGGATCATCTATGTCCTCTGCTCTTTGCTTGTCAATCCATACATCTGCATTGGCCTCCTCCCATTCACTCAGGTTCAGCCTGCACGGCTCCCCACCTCTTCGAGCATTAAACAATGTTAGCCTGGAGACAGTCATGTCTCGTAGGTTCTTGAAATTATGGATATCCCATACAAGATATTCATCGCTGACTATCTCCTGAACTCCATCAACAGAATATGTCCTTAGCTTCTGCATGTCAGCCTCAAGAGGCAACGCATCCGGCTTTCTGAGCTTGACTTGCCGATTCTTATTAATGGCATATGTCGCATCTCCAAATAGAAAGCTGTGATTCAGTTCCAGGACTGCGATGAACTTGTCAATTTCTTCGGCACCTCTGTCATCTCCTGTTGACAGATATGTAGCTTTTGTGACTTTGCATGCTAATTTCAGAAGGTAGTAGAGTCCAGATTTCAAACCAGATTTTAACTGTCCACTTTCTTCACCAGTAGTGTACACAGTAATGGCTTCACTTAGAGCATGAAAATGAAGCCTATCAAACATGTCTCCTGCATTTCCATTTTGAAGGACTGAGTTCCCATGGATTGCATGCTGCTGCTTGAATAATGCATATAGTGAAGCTAGCCTGCGCATGCTAGCCATGACAGATTTCCGAACCTGGGACCTTTTGTCCCGTTTGCTCCTTTCCTTACTCCACAATCGTTGCCCTATGTTGGTAATGACTTCATCAGTTCTGCAGACTTCACCAATCTCATCATCACGAAACTTTGACAATATTTCAGTGGTGAATTCAGAGACATCCTCATTGACTTGGACATTTGACATCAGTAAGGATACTGGCACTGCACAAGCTTCTGCAGCGGTATCACCTCTGCAATACCTCTTATGCCGTTTGAAGTAAGGTTTTGAATAAAAACCTTTGCATAACCCACAAATAGTCATTTTATCATTTGTATTGCATTTTCGCTCTCTCTGGTATTGTGGGTCCTTTTTTTTTATTTGATTTTGGTTGGCATGGAGAATTCCCTGTTTCTTGAATACAGACATGGCCACATTTCTTTCCTTTTTTGGGAGCTTCAAAGCATCTTTCACACTTTTCTCATGTTTGTGCACTTGTGTTATGTGTCTGGTTAGTTTCTCTCCACAGCTCTTGTGACAGAACGGGCAAACTCTTGATGGCTTTGAGTAATTTCTCTTGGCTTTCTTCTGTGGTAGTTCAAACATTACACTTTCAGCTTTATTGGACTCGGCTCCAGAGGCCACATCCTCATTGACAGATGAAGTTTCTATGCATTCAGGCAGAGAATCATGAGATTCACTTTCACTTTCAAGATCATATTCATAAGTGGGGTCTAAAACAGAATTATCACTTGAATCAGAGAAGCTGTCAACTTCATTTAAACAGTCTAGTTTTGAAAACCGAGCTGTTATTTTATGTCCAGATTTTCCACTGACATTTGGCATCCGCAAGTAATGTGATTCAGGGACAATTTGAGACAAGGTATCAAGTGGGCTGCTAGATGGAGACAGGGGCTGCTCCTGGTGAGAAGTATCAAGCGGGCTGCTAGATGGAGACGGGGGCTGCTCCTGGTGAGAAGTATCAAGCGGGCTGCTAGATGGAGACGGGGGCTGCTCCTGGTGAGAAGTATCAAGCGGGCTGCTAGATGGAGACGGGGGCTGCTCCTGGTGAGAAGTATCAAGCGGGCTGCTAGATGGAGACGGGGGCTGCTCCTGGTGAGAAGTATCAAGCGGGCTGCTAGATGGAGACGGGGGCTGCTCCTGGTGAGAAGTATCAAGTGGGCTGCTAGATGGAGACGGGGGCTGCTCCTGGTGAGAAGTATCAAGTGGGCTGCTAGATGGAGACGGGGGCTGCTCCTGGTGAGAAGTATCAAGTGGGCTGCTAGATGGAGACGGGGGCTGCTCCTGGTGAGAAGTATCAAGTGGGCTGCTAGATGGAGACGGGGGCTGCTCCTGGTGAGAAGTATCAAGTGGGCTGCTAGATGGAGACGGGGGCTGCTCCTGGTGAGAAGTATCAAGCGGGCTGCTAGATGGAGACGGGGGCTGCTCCTGGTGAGAAGTATCAAGCGGGCTGCTAGATGGAGACGGGGGCTGCTCCTGGTGAGAAGTATCAAGTGGGCTGCTTGATGGAGACGGGGGCTGCTCCTGGTGAGAAGTATCGAGTGGGCTGCTAGATGGAGACAGGGGCTGCTCCTGGTGAGAAGTATCAAGTGGGCTGCTAGATGGAGACAGGGGCTGCTCGTGGTGAGAAGTATCAAGCGGGCTGCTAGATGGAGACGGGGGCTGCTCCTGGTGAGAAGTATCAAGTGGGCTGCTAGATGGAGACGGGGGCTGCTCCTGGTGAGAAATAAATAAATAAATAAATAAATGAATAATAACAATAATAATAATTATAATAAAAATAAATAATCACATGAAACCAATTTTCACTCAAACCAGAATTTTATTGACTGTACCCAAGTTATAATGCATTTACAAAAATGTTTGTTAGGAAGTGGAAGTTAATTCACCCTGTCAGGTTGAAAAAAATTCATCTAAAATAGGGCAAATACTTTTTTTTTTGCACAAATCACATGAAATTTATTAGGAAGTACAGGTGCAACTCTCACTAATCTATAAGAGTTTATCATTTCTCTCTCACTATTTTTTATGTTTTATCTCAGTTCTTTAATTTACCTTTTTAAAAATCTGTGTTTTTCTCTTAAATTTGTTCTGCAGCTGTGCAGCAAGTTATTAGTTACTTTCATTATGCAGTACATCTTGTACAACTAGATGGATACTCAACTGCTGCGTGCAATCAGAAGTATGTTACATGCCTTATTGAAGAAATTGTCAAATAATGACCTCTCCTATACTACTATAGGTCAAATGGTTTATCTGTTATTCCAAGAACCAGGGGCTAGTTTCATGCATTCAATCTCTGTTGCCTTTGATCTGTGACCTCATGACCCCCATTCTTATCAGATTATTGCCCTTTGTATGTGCATACATAATCTCACTTCTAAGTTGATATGTTAAACCATTCTCGAGTTATCGCAAGAACAAGCGATTTTCATTTACACAATGACCACATGACCTTTGACTTTTGACCTAATGACCCCAAAACCTACTTCCCTTAAATGTGCCTTCCATTTATATACATGATCTCCGATTAAAGTTGATATATCAAATTGTACTTGAGTAATCGTGTGAATGTGCCATTTTCATGTAAACAATGACCTCCGTGGCCTTCGACCTAATGACCCCAAATCTGATCAGATCAGTCTGCCTCCCAGTGCCATACATAATCTATGTTTAAAATTTCTATGTCATACCATTTTCAAGTTATCGCAACAAGTTATTTTCATGTATAAAGACCTCTGTGATCTTTGACCCTTGACCTCATGACCACAATTTAATTAGATCATTGTCCCATATGACCCAACATTAAAATCAATACATCTAACAGTTCTTAAGTTATCACAACGAAAACAGGACGGACTTTGGACGTACAGATGTATGGACGAAACACCCAAAAACATAATGCCTCCGGCATCACCTTCTGTGAGCGTAGGCATAACAATTATGTTTACATTGCCATGAAGAGTATTCCTTTAAAAACAACCCAAAACAAAACAAAATAAAAAAAGTCCCCTTTAACTACTCACCATATGTTTCCATGGCAGCTTTGCATCTGGTAAACCATAATCATAAAGTAGCTCACTGCCAACTCTTATGGTCTCTGAGGCAAAAAGGCACAAGTACGGTACATCTTCCACAGAAATAACCTTCATGTTACAGTTGCGCTCATGTGGCTCCCCATGATTTACAAGTCTTCCATAAGAAGGCCCCTTTTCTGTTTCCTCTGTGGCATCATAACTGAAAAAGGAGGACATATCATTAGTCTCCACGGATCTATAAAATTCAAAGTGAAAATAGAAGTGAGGTTTCCAGTGAGGGGAAAACAAATTTGTAAGATGTTTGTACATGGGTCATTCTAATCCCAACAAAAAAAGTAAGTCCCCCCCCCCCCCTAATCAAAATAGCATAATTTTTTAACGAAGAAGGTTCAAGCAGAATAACTTGGCAGGATTGTTACTACAGTTATGGGCAATTCCATTCTGCCCTAGAAAATGCCTACTTTTGTTATTGCATAAAATGTAACTATTTGTATTGATTTTTAAGTGTCTGTTCATCTGATTTTTCTAATTTTTCATAAAGGTGAATTTTCTAAGGGAGGACTTATCCTTCAAAAGCACATTTTTCATGCAGTCAGAATAAACCTGGCAAAAAAAATAAACACTTCTGTGTCCCATTTGGTAACAAGGCTTTATGCTAGTAATACTGGAGAAAGTTAAGCATCCTTCGTCTTCACTCTTTCTTTTCTATAGTCAACACTTGCCTAAGGCATAGGGCAAGAAAATATCATTCTTGTTTGTATGGAAGTTAATTTCCAAGAGTGACTCACCAGCTGGTTTTTCCCTTGAATGAGAAAAAATACCGAAAAACACTTGGATGGCCTTCATCCTCCTCCAGAGCTTCAGCCACACTTTCAGGTAGTAGTTTTCCTGGATACTGCAAGAGGAAATCTCCATTGTCAAATTCCTCTGTAGTCACTACTCCTCTTCCTGGAATAAGAGAGCACATTAAGCACATGTATAGTTGAGCCTCACAGAAAATATTTTGTACACTAAGCATGGGCACTTTCATGTTGATCATGGCCAGTTCCACATAAAAAAACAAATTTTAGAGAATTTTAAAGGTATGAAATTGTAATAAATTTGACATGTTTGGAATGATGTTGAGTTACTGAATCTAGCAGTCAGATTGAAATTCATGTTTTATTATGCCTCCGCACGGAAGGTGCCGGAGGCTTTATGTTTTCGGGTTGTTCGTCCGTCCATCCTACAGAGGGTCAGAATGAAATCAAACTGTGCCAAAAGTCTTAAATGGTGAATGTGAGATTCCAATATTTTTGCATATGGGCTTTTAGCTATTAGCTGGTACTACTTGCAACTTTTTGTGTTATAAACATAAATGTTCAGCAATGTTTTGTGTAATTTAGCTCATTTCTATAGGGATAAAATGCATTGACAATGGGGAAAAAAGAAACTACACTTGAGTGCACAGGAGCTGTCTGCACTGACGTAAAGCACAAAAATAGTTTTGGCGCAGTTTGTTTTCATTCTGGCCCACTGTGCGTCCGTCCGTCATTCCGTAAGTCTGTCCGGATTTTTCGTTTACGTGATAACTCAAGAATTCCTGAATGGATTTGATCATACTTGGCCCAAAGGTACCCCATGACGTGCCAACGATCTGATTAGATTTTGGGTCAGATCCACCCAGGGTCAAAGGTCAATCAACTTTATCAAAAAATACTACTTTTACCTCGTTTACGTGATGACTCAAGAAATCCTGAATGAATTTTGATCATACTTGGTCCAAAGGTACCACTTGTCGTACCAGCGAGCAAGTTGGAATTTTGGCCATATTCACCCAGGGTCAAAGGTCAAAGGTCAATGAACTCTATCTGAAAATCCTACTTTCACCATCTAGGAATTACCAATTAAGTTGAAATTTGGTAAGGAGGTAGCAAAAAAGTAGAGAAACATTTTGGTGTAACATTGAATGTAAAAAGTTAAAGGCCAAGGCCAAGGAATTGGCATATCTGTCATTACCTCCAGCTTGGAAATTTGAAAGTCTACAGTATTACTTTATGGAATTTCAGTGTCATATACAACTTTTAAGTTTAGCCTCCTCCACCAAATATTAATGAATATGGGTGCTATGCTAAAGTATGTATATCCACCCTACCTACATGTAGGCTTTCAAAATGCACTGAAATGCCAAAAAAGAACATAACTCAAAGACAAATCAATCAAATGCAAGTTTAAACAAAAGGGATTTAACATTGGGCTTAAAGCTTTCAAATCTAGAACTAAATGTGTGGATCCAATTATGAATTATACAAGAATGCGTACAGGAAAATTATTAAATCAACTATCGAAGCAATAATTGAGGAATGCGAAAAGGCGGAGCCCCACATACCAGTCTACTGCATGCAGTCAAATGTTTCCAGTTTCTAAAGGGAGCTGTTTGGGAAGGTGTGTTTATGCATGAGAGGAGCTGTCGAAAAAGACAGGTCCATGCAATGAAAAGGTGAATTTTCGGGTAAAATTGGCAGCGTGTGTCCCATGACCATTGAGAACATACATGGTACATGTATTGAATCATTGTAGTTGTGTTAACCATTAAACAAGCACTGTACAATAAAAACAAAAACAAACAAATAACAAAGATATTAGAACCCCTTACCTTTCAGAGGAATTTCCTTGACAACAAAACCTTGTTTGTCTTCCTGTTTTCTGATATATATCTCTGCTTCTTTGTCAGGCTTTATACGCTTCCTTCTTTGACCAACCATTGTACCTAGACAGTCCAAAAAAGAAATATGCAAAAAAGAAAATGTCAGTTCAACTACAAAAACACTCTGATGTGCAATCTTACACGGAGTAATATTAGCTTGCGCATTGACATAGCATGGCAAATGTTTAATTTTCAGGGTGTCAATTGAATTTAAAAAGGTGCACTATTTTATTTTCTTATATTGCAAATGAGTCTTGAACCCTGAATTTTTAAGTACAGAATCTCTTTAATAAGCAGCTCCTCTTCAAGCTGGCTAACATGAACATTTTGTTGCCTACAGCAACTGCAACTGCACTGCAATTATTATGCATCTTTAAAAATGTTAAAGCAGAAAATTTTATCAGATTGTACATACTTTTCTGGGTCTGCATTGTCTGACTCTGTAGTGGCCTACTGCTGGATACCAGTGGCTGCCTACTGCTGGACACTGATGGCTGCTGGCTGGCCAATGTATGACTGCCTGTTCCAACACCTACAGCATATTAAGAAAATTATGATCTTTATTTTGTTTGTAACCCCAACTAGGGTCATTTTCAGACATTGGCTATTTGGATAGGTCTTGTTGTCCTGAGACTTATTTAAAGTCTGGGACTTGGTATTATAGATCTGTTTAATCTGACCTCTTCTGCCAACCCAAATTGTTGTTTAGTTATGATATCTAAAAATGTATTTGTTTTGGTATTTTTAGGGATTGGTTTTTTATGCTGTCCCACGAAGTCCTGAACCCCATGTACTGCCTGTTTCAGTACGCCAACAAGAATACATGTAACTACTGTCTGCAGATCAACCTGGCCTCGTCCGTCAACCCAGACCATCTCCAGTAGGAAGATTCATCGCCATGGTGAGAAGTCATACAATATGTCTGCAGATGGAACATAACACTGATTTTGTTTGGGGTCCTGGTTGCCCTCCACGATCTTACCCTCTCTGGGGTGATCTTGGATGGGTCTTTGCAAACTAACTACTTGGTCCAGAATGAAATCAATATTATTGCAGTCATAAAAAGAATAGACTATTTCGAGCTGGACATGGAGATGACATTCGTTGCAGACTTTGAGATCCTAGGAAAGATCGAGACGGTAGATCTCAAGGAAGGCGGCAAAGATATTGACGTCACCGAGGCTATTTTATGACGAAAGGCTGCTGTGAAGAAACAAGTGGTGTGGCCAACATTCCACACCAGCCTCGGGACACCCTCTGGAAGAGCATCAACGAGACGAGACACCAGCAGCAGCGCCTCCACCACCATCATTCACTCGAGCGGCGGCGGAGGCAGTGGTCAGGTCTACCGCGCCACCACTCCCTATTCACGCTAAAACAGACTCTGTCTTTCAAGGTGGAGAAGGAAGATGATTATGATGAGTGTAGCAAATAGGACTATGTGGACAAACTTGAACATCCTGGAGGATATCCTAGATTTTGAAGTGGAAATAAAAAGATGTTTGCTGCTCGACCAGATTCATGTTAAAGCAGAAATTCTTCACGATTGAGGAGGACAAATTCAGGTAGAGAAAGATGATGATTATGACGTGTATAGCAAATAAGACTGTGGACAAACATGAACATCCTGGAGGATATCTTTAAATCTAGAGTGGAAAGAAAAGATGACATCTCACATCTACCACTCAACAGAATCAAGATCATATATTTATATTTATGGTGAACTGTCTTGCATGTACCTGTTTGTTTGTTTGTTTTCCTGTCCGCTGCCAGTCTACACAGCGGCTGTAGAGTCGCTCAAGTCGCGAAAAAGCTGAAAAGTGGGTGGAAGGGGCGTACATGGCAGGGGTACCTTTCCTGCATGCCTAGGAAATTGCTGACAAACGCAGACAAAAAACTCATCAATGTCTGAAGACGGTCATCATTTCCGTATAAAGATACTAGGAAGCCAGAAAAATGTGGGGGACATGTCGTCGTCCCCCCCCCCCCCCCCTCCCTTGTCAGATTTGTGTCCATGCTATTTCAAAATTACATGTATTTTATTCATAGATGATGCAAATTCAAAAATGCTAGACCTGATTTGAATAATGAAAAGTAAACAAAAATATATGGTAAAATCTCATTACTTTGAAGTGGTTTAATGAAGAGAAGAATGGAACTCAGAGTGAGATTAGAGTAGATTTTTAGTGAATATTTGTTCACTCATTTCATTTCACTCATTTTGGAGTAACCTCAGGGATCACTCGTGAACCCTGAGGTCAATCTAAAATGAGTGAAAAGATGTGTACGTTCGCACCAAATATAAGAGGAAGAAGAAAGGGGAAAAGACAGAAAAGAACAGAAAAAAGGAAAACGAAAGAAAGAAAAAAAAAGAAAGAAGAAATAAAAAGAAAGAAAGGTAGAGGGAAATAATGAACTAAAAATAGGATGAAAACATTACAAGATAGGAATATCTAAAAAAAAAAAAAAAAAAAAAAAAGAAAGACTGGAGAAAAAAAAAAGAAACGGGAATATAAAAAAAAAAAAAAAATTGGGATGAAAAAGGAAACTAAAAAAAAAGGATAAGAACTGCAAAAAGAAAAGAAAGAAAAAAAAAATTATACCCTGAGGGAAAAACCCCTGAATTTACCAATATGCCCCTACACTTGGATCATGATTTATGAATAAAAAGTTACCCCCCATAGCCCCATAACACATCTTACAAAGTATTCATAAGTATAGAATTCAGAACCATTAAAATAAAAAATAAAATAAACACCATCATAGAAACAAACTACATAATCAAATCGATAAACAGAAGACCAATGTTTGATTTGTTCAAGATCATGATGATTAGAAGTTAGAATAACTCCAACAGGTTTATGATTATTGATATGATTATTAACTAGCGCTTGCCTGTACATACATGTAGACATGTTAAAATAATCTGGTACTAAAATCTGAAAAATGAAATGAGAAAACGGGAAAAAGACGAAATCTAATAATTAAAAGTCTTCTAATTCTACTAACAGGTAATAAACTAAAATAATGCGTCAATGGGCATGCAAAACAAAACAAACTTGCAATAACAATTAAAACATCAAAAGCGAAAAGAGGGAATATGACTTAGCTTTAATCTGCTCGAGCTTCGAATCAAAATTGACTGCCTGATCTTTGGACAATGTAAGCCTCTTGACAAACCTTTGTGGCTGAAACAAGACTAAACACGATTAATCTCATTTTTCAGCTGTGATGGCCTTGTCAAACGGCAAAGACAAGGTCGTAACATTTTTAACATATTATAACATGCATCTCTATGGCGGAAACTATTACCGCCATAGAGATGCACGTTATAACGAAATCTGAAGAAAAAATCTCGCGATAAACGAAAACGAGTGATGGAAAATGCTATGAAAATCTGCAAAATCGCCGTGGTTATGGAATAACATTCAAGCAAGACACGAGATCGATGAGTTTAACTATTATAGTAGCCCAAAATATATTTATTGCACCATACAGTTGATTCCAAGTGCCAAAATATGGCATTTTATGGTTGGAAATCGACTTGATTCCGTAAGTGATATACATGTATCCCTATCACCCGAGCTCTTTCGGCCCGTACTGCCCAGTGTATCGTTCGCATCTATCGCTAGAAGCAGCCGACCACCAAAAATACAAATTATGATGTCGAGGCAATGATAGTGATAGATTTATCGATCTAGCACAGGCTGGGCCTCCTATTCAGTTAGTGTGCAGCACAGAACAATCACATTGCCGCCATGCGTTATTTTTTTCGTTTGGCTTGGAATTGATTGCTTGAGGGGTATGAGCGAATTCACTTTGACCCAGTTGACAATGCGTTGTCATTGGAAATGACCAGATGCTAGCGTAAAGAACAGAGGCACTTTCGCGTGTGTGGCCGTATGTATGTGTAAGATACAAAGTATTTTACACATAGTATACTAGTATAGGTATGGACGGTCTATGGACTCAAGGTATGACATGTTAAAAAAAAACGTCCAAATGTTAATGTAAATGTCTCTATCTAGAGTTCTCTTGGACTAGTAGTAACTTAACAATAACAGTTTAAGTATGGGTGAGAAAACAAGCATCGATTTGACGATTTGACATAATCATACAAGTCAATTTTCATCAAACTCAAACATGTCAAACTCAAGGCAGAGCAAAGCTTCTCATTTTCTCTACAACTCTGCTCAGTACTACGGCATTATCGTGAAATTAGGCTCTGAGGGACAGTTCGAACCGGACAACTTCCAACCAGCTAACAAGTCAAATCGCGACCGATATGAATCTGCACTCCGTCGCGTGTCTGCTTCCACAAACTAACAAAGATTACTTCTCTTTTTGGGAATATTGGGGTTTTTTTCGTCAGAACGAAAATTCTTAAAATGTTTCATTCCCAAACTCCTCTGACGAAATAAACCTAAATAAATATGAGATTGGATTTATTTCGTCAGCGGAGATATAGGAATATTTTCCATATTCCTATAAACTCCTATGACGAAATAAATCTAAATAAATATGAGATTGGATTTATTTCGTCAGAATACTACAGCAAGAACCGCCCAAACAAAATAAACTGCATAATTATCAAGTAATTATGAAAAATAAATTTTCAACTCTCTTTACTTACTCGTGAAATAAGGCTCCGCCCTGTACAAACCTATGGAAGACGCTACATAGGTTTGTACAGGGCGGAGCCTAATATCACGAGTAATTAAAGAGAGATGAACTTCGCCAACTCTCTTTACTTACTCGTGAAAAAAGGCTCCGCCCTGTACAAACCTATGGAACATGCTACATAGGTTTGTACAGGGCGGAGCCATATTTCACGAGTAAGTAAAGAGAGTTGGCGAAGTTCATCTCTCTTTAATTACTCGTGATATTAGGCTCCGCCCTGTACAACTCTATGGAAGGCGCTATACATAGGTTTGTACAGGGCAGAGCCTTATTTCACGAGTAAGTAAAGAGAGTGGAATTATTCAACTGTCTTAATAGTATACAGTTTTTGATTTTACTGATGATGTGTGGAAGCAATTTATGTGTTTTTGTCATCTTGCTATTGCGATTATAAAATTTGAAACGCTCTGCTCTAGACTCTAGATTCTAGCTATGTTTCCGTGATTCTTGTCCGACACTGTGATTATTGTTTCTAGAAAGTCTATGGGAAAACGCGTGGTGGAAAGAAAACCCAAGAAATCACCGCTTTTAAATAGAGTTTCGCATCGTAAACAAAGGAAATCCATTCAAGATTAGTAGACCGAGAAATCCATCGAAATTGCCGTAAGTTTGGTGCTGTGAAAATAGGAGTCCTCCAGGCCAGGCCCAGCTAGGACCTAAACCACGATATACTATAGCCAGTACTACTACTAGTTTGTCCAGCTTAACAGAAATCTGGGCATACATAAAAAAAAAGGAATAGTTTTCTCAACACATGACTACCAGACTACGTTGTTGTCTCAGAGTCAGAATAATGTGGCACAGAGCCTCAGAGCCGGGGTTTCAACCATGTTGAACACAGTCCCACATATGGAAGTTTCTGTGAGTGTGAGTTGAAAGTTGGGGGGGGAAATAAGGGGAAAAAAGTAAACTATCGTACTTCCTGTCATAACTTATAAACTAAGGTCAGAACTAGAAAAGAGGCAATACAATTTTACCTTTTAAGAAGCACTCTTCTCGTCTTGCAGGATGTTTTGCAGCGAATAGGGGTCCGCTCCTCTGATCTCGTTGTGATAGAAGACATCACATCATCAGTAGCCTCTGGTACATCGACATGACAGCGCAGCACATGCACATTGCATGTACGTGCATTTAGTATGCACTGATATATGGGGGTGATGACGTCACGATTTTTTGACAAAATTTTGTTCCAAAAGGGGTGTATATTTAACATGGAGCCAAAACTTTTTTTAAATTCTGTGTCAGTTTCTCACAAATACGAAAAAAAGACCCCCACATGTAATATAATGAAAATATAGAGCCTAGTTTTTTAGTAATTAAGAAAAAACATGAAGTCTCCACAATGTAGTTTTGTAACTACGCCAAATATAGGGAGACAAAATGTCCCTTTGATTATCTGCAATTTATTGACCCCCTCAATATAATGGACCAGGCTATGAAACAAGCGGGGAAAAACGGATGCAACCGATATGTGTTGAACTGAGCTGATCTGTTTGGAAAGTACGTAAAATACATGCTGAAACGTTAGGGAGACACAAAATTGTCTCCCTATTCATTTTGTCTCCGTAATATACCTGCTCAAACCCCCTATTGTCTCCCAAAGGTACCATCCACGCTAATATATATATATATATATATATATATATATATATATATAAAAGGAGATTATGCATTTAAAGTATCTGTCATAGTCAATAAATTTGATCATGTATGGTGTCAAATTTACCCACGTACATTATAACGACTACAAATCAGCTTGTAGTAGCATTCAGCATGTTGTTTGTACATTTCTTTTGTAGCCTGGCTATATCCCAAAATATAGTCACAAGTTTTCATAGAACCTTCAGGCCTTCCACTGATCAAAACGGGATTAAGCTCAGATCTCAATGTCATACAGACTTTGTTTTTGACAAATCTAATCTGAAAATTTCCTTGTCTTATACCTCGCTTGTTAATGTTATTTACCAAGTTACTGACAAGCCTTTACTACCATTTAGAGTTTACTTAACCTCCAGGACATTCACAATAAGCAATGCTTATTTCACTGAGCTCCTTTGTCATAATTAGCCAGGAAGAATATGTTGCTTTGTTCAGATATGTTTTGTCTTTTTGCGTTGGTTTGACCTGTGCTCTAAAAACACACAAGTCGCTATCTGCAGAGAGGGGATTGTACTCGAGCTTCTCCACATTTCTATCGGCAAAAAGATGAAAGTCCTCAAAACTCTTGAAAGCTTATAGTCTGCTCTATTTTCTACTAAATAATTAAAAACGTCATAGATTCCAAAGTCTGGAATATCGTCAAACTTAGAAGTGTACCTGGGGAGTTCTGTTGGTTTACTGAACAAAAAACATGTACGTTGCAGTTTTCAAAGCACAGTAGTGTCAGAGTGAGACGGGCCTGATAGGACCGGGTCGACAGGCAGGCTAATGTCCGCTACCGCAGACGCTAATCTTACAAGTCTTTCCTTGTTGTATCCCATGCACAAAACTCCTCTGTTTCGAAGAAAATCTCGCAGCTGCTTGATATTCTACTTGCTGAACGTCAAGTTGGAAGACATTTCCTTCAAAAACAGAAATCCAAATATACAAACGCGGCGTCGATAGAAAATTATTAATGAAATTTAACGGCAAGAACCATCGGTCTAATACACAACGCACAGATTAAAAATGGTGGTTTGACAAAAGCTTGACCCACCTGGTTACAGTAACCGTGCATTACGTAACCGCCGAAACTGGCCTATTGAATTCGGTAATTTGCTCATGCATATTACCGTGTGAAAAAATCTTTAGTCTCAACAACTTCTCAACAATACGGGTGAAACCGTGTAAGATATCAAAAACAATACGCGGCCGCTAACTATATGCACAAAAATTGATTTAAAGTTTAAAACATCTCAATCACATCGTACGCTGGACGCCTTAACAGGTTGAATGATTAATCTCCATCAAACAATTCAGAAGAAAAAAAGGGACAGAGAGTAAAACATCTGATGAAAATAATCCGGAAAAGTAATATCCAAATAAATGGCACAGTTTAGAGACTAATTACTTGAAGCGGGCCGAGGAGCTGACAACAAATCCTGCAAGATACACGATGCCTTGTGTATCTTCTCCTGTCTTAATTGAATGAGTCCCGATAAATGGTTGACACCTTTCACGATGTCCAGTTGAACATCCTCCGTAAATATACGGGCCTCGCCGCTGTTCTGTTCGGTTTGGTTGCAAAGCTGCTCCACAGAATGTTGGAGTGTCTTCACCTCCTCCCGGAGCGAGCTCACCTCGGTTGAGAACCTCCTTTCCATGGCTGCCATGGCGTCCAGGACCCTGTCGACATCGCTACCGCTAGTTCGGGGCTCTTCCATCGGTCGCTTCCTCCCCACAGAGCCTGGCGTGTGGTCTCTTGGTAGGGGCGTGTGGGTGAAGATGAACCCATGGCTGGCCGTCTTGATTTCATCATTCGGCAATTTGTTGATGCCCTCATCACCCGCCGCCGATACCAGGGAGTAGGCCCTCTCATCGACAATGGGGTGGTCGATGGAGATGCGATCCCGCTATCCATACCCCCATCACAGCCATACATGCCCATTGTCAGTGGCATGCATCGAGTCACACTCACTGTTCATGACAACATTATCTTGAAGAGTGAGCCTCAGAGCCGAGATGAGAAGAATCAGTGAGAGAGAATCATTGCTAGCATGCAGACCTGTTGTCCCATAAGAGGTCTACAAGTAGGAAAAATTCACAGTAGTGGAGTAGGTGGGTTAGCTTGGCACTATCTGGAATACTGGACAGTCGATCAAGTTCTCGAATGCCCTCTAAAACTCCTAATACTTGAGAGGGCTGCCACCATAGGTCATCATCTGCATTTGAGGCACATTTAGATACTCCAAGCAGATTTTTTGAATGGAATATTAAACCTATTACCTTTGTAAGCTCTCAGATAAATCTGCTTAATGTAGGCTTTGGATTCCTGAGGACAACCTGCCTGTGAGCTGTGGATGTGCATGTGGCCCAAATGCTTCAGTTCTAATTACTGCCAGCATTGTTGCAGACTCTGATTTTTTTGTTCCATGGCATGTGCAATTCTCGTCCAAGCTTCCTTCCAGCTGAATCAACAGTTTCCCATACTAGTAATGGTTCAGCAGCATACTCTTGGAGATTCAGGACCAAATGTCGCCATTGTCATCAACTTCATGCAGATAGTCAAGCAGGTATGACGCTATCTTTGCACGATACTCTCTTGGTTACGGACTCATTGGAGAAATAACAGTAACCATTGCTATCACCTTCAGACCTAGCTGTTTGTTTTTGGTAAGAAAAGTCGAATATGGCACATCTTTTTTTGTCATTTGTCTTAAGTTCTTGTTTCACTCCTGTGAATAGTATAGTTTATTACTGTCCCATCGCGGCAAAATAGCAGAAAATGTAATCCAAGCACTTCTAAATAATTCTCTCAGTGTGTTTATAAGTGTAACATAATCATGTGCGTCTCTTTCCCAGAGTCCACTCTTCAAATTGTTTGTTCCAACATGAACGACAATGTGAGTTGTCTCCTCATAAACAATGTCACAGAAATGTTCCTTTAAAAATTACTTGCTGCAAGTCGAATGTGGCACCTCTTTTTTGTCATTTGTCTTAGCTTCTTGTTTGGACTGGGCTTTTATTTGTCTGACTTCGGCAATTTCACCCCTGTGAATTATATGAAGCAAATCCTTGTGTACAATGTAGTCCTACAGCATTGGTGTAGTTATCACACAACCCACACATATCCTTTTAAGGATGATGACTTTTGATTCTCATTTTCTTCATGATCTTCTTGTACATGCACTGATCATGCTGTTAACCCATTCAAGACAGGAATAATTTTAGATCATATTCAACCACTATTTCTTCCTAAAATTGGCAACATTAGATTTTTAAATCCAATTATTACAATATATCGGTCAAATTGAATCTCGATTGTTGAAAAATGTGTTTAAAAGTCAGAAGTTGCCAATTGATGTAGAAAAATAGTGACTTCTAACTGATTATTGTGTTGCCAATTTTAGTGATTATTCTATTTTTAAAAATTCTCTACATCGAACGACTAATGGTTACACAATAACATTGGTCAGATTTTGTGTAGATTTTTGTTCTACTTCTGCTCATGGATGTCTGTATTTTTTAGAGCCTTGAATCATAAAGTTATTGAACCAAAGCACAAAATGTGTTCATTCATCCTGAATGGGTTAAAGAACAAGAAATAAAGTGTGCGTTACATCTCCATTTAGTAGCCTGCTGACATTTCGGGTGAAATACATATTCGAGTTTATACACATGGTAGTTTTGCATGATATTTCAGTCATATTGCTTTCAATGACCTTTGATATTTAGCATAATGAACCAAAAATGTTAACAGATCACTGTGCTTCCCATTTGCATTTGATCTTAATCGGACAATAATTTGCCATTTCGTTATTGCAAGTAGGAACTAATTCATGTGTTAAATAATCTCTATGGCCTTTGTCCAAATCACCCTCAAAATTTACTCACAACATTGTGTATCCTATACGCATACAGAACCAAAATTTAAAGTTGCTATGTCAAACCATTGAGTTATCACCGATATCCAATGATCTCTGTGACCTTTGAACTTTGACCTCATGACCCCAATTTTCATGAATCACAGTGATTTCTATATGCATACCTGAACAAAGTTTCAAGTCTTAAAGTTATTGCGAGAATGACAAAAAAAAAAAAAAAACGAACAGAAGTACGAATGGGCAGACATATGTTTGTACGTACAGACGGATCCTAAGACGGATCAAGGAAACATGCCTTAGGATTCATTAAACCTACCAGTGTATCTGTCCCTTCTAATGCCGAACTTGAACAGCTAGAGGCTATTGATTTCTGAAAGATGAGAGAATATACAATGTTAAAACAAAGAGTCATTTACAGTATAACCATTAAAGTAATAGAAACATTTGGGTGTTCATGTACCTTGACATTCTCTGGCTGTCCATCACTTGTAGGTGGAGGTGGAGTAGCAGGTGTCATCTTCTGAAATAGGAATTATAAAGGACAAAAACAATTTTCAGTACCAATCACTTAGATTTTAATGTAAGAAACAACAAAAATAATGATTTCACTATTACATTCTTTGATTCATTTTGATTGAAGTAAAATAATGGTTATGGTACCACTATGGATGAGTGGAGGCATGAAACTAAATAACTTACTGAAAAACTATCTGGGTTGTACATTTAAATTTTACAAATTGACCCTCCAAACACAATGTGTGTGTCGTGAAGTATATAAATCTTTTCAGAACCCAGGACAAACACGGCTCTCAAAGACTCGTCTGACTAGGTTCAACGGCACTGTACACTATTGTTTTCTTTTTTCAAGATTAACACATAAGTTGGTCATGTACCTTGACATTCTCTGGCTGTCCATCACTTGTAGGTGGAGGTGGAGTAGCAGGTGTCATCTTCTGAAATAGGAATTATAAAGGACAAAAACAATTTTCAGTACCAATCACTTAGATTGTAATGTAACAAACAACAAAAATAATGATTTCACTATTACATTCTTTGATTCATTTTGATTGAAGTAAAATAATGGTTATGGTACCACTATGAATGAGTGGAGTCATGAAACTAAATTACTT